GCATTCATTATTGATGCATTCATCGTTCACTTGATGAATATTCGTCAGCGTATTTTTATTCTGCGCAACGCATTTCATTTCATATCAACACCTTTTGTGCTCTTAGGATACTCATTCGTAGAATTCTATGCATTACATGAAGTGGTAACATCCCGCAGAAAAATCTGGATATACCCAGGATCAGTAAAGAATGTCTTAACCTAATCATTATATCAATCTATGACAATTGTGAACTCGTCTCCAAAAGTGGGTTATAATTGAAAGATTCATATGAGACTCTACCCATGAACTTTTTGTACGACATCCTTCCATTATTTATAATTTCAATAAATATAAACTATAAGATTTCTGTCATTCGTTTTCATCAATCTTATTTGATTAAAGTTTAGTTCACTTTTTCTATTTAGAAAAACATTGTGTTCGTAAGATAAAGAATGTTCCTTCCTAATAAGGAGCGAAAACTCGAAACATCATCGAGCAAACCCTTAGAAATATTCAACTTATATCTATTGATTTCGATAATCATACCCAAATTAAGTATAGGTGTGACTGTGTATAAATGAAAATATCGAGTTACGAATAATAATAATAATAACAAGAAAAGAAAAGCAAATTTTTAATGAGAGAAAAAAAGAAGATTATTTGTTTTTTGTGTAGTTTTTTAATTTTCTTCTAAGTTTTCTTTTTGCGTTTGTTTTTTTATTTTGAATTATTTTTTAGTGTTTTCGTGAAAGTGTTTGAGATTTAAATGAGTAAAGCTAATTTTCAATAAGAAAAAGAAAGAAAATCAGTTAAAGTATCTAATTTGGAGTGAGATAAGAAAAATAATGAGTCTTTTTTTTCGAGAGAAAAACATGTTTTTTTATGGTAAACATTCATAAATTTTGAACGACAAATAGTTCTTTTGAAAAAGTTAAATGTAGATTTTTATATTTATTTTACTCTTCAAAAAATTAATACAATACGTAATAATATAATAAGCGATGCGATTCGAATATTCTTCAGGCTATATCCTATCTACTCAATGTCATTCTCTCTTTTTGCTTCGTGAAGATTTCTAATTTCTTATTGGAGCGCCCAAAAGCAGCACTGAATGTATATAAGTATCTCCAATATAACTATTCTGATAAGCAATAACAACTCGATCAATACATCAACTCAACATCCCAGCAGGATCACTCACTATATGAGAGTAAAGAATCCATAAACTATGGCAGTCACAGCCTACTCTACAGTTACTTCCCTTTTCGTCATTTGAATTTCAATAAGACTTAAATAAAAATGCGAATCAGCGTAAATATCTCTTATTCGATCAGTTGAAGCATGTAGTTGCATCTAATTTGCTATGCTGTCATATAAAATTTGCATCAAACTTAGATCGCAATAAATTTCCATCAGCAATACAAGCGAGTTATTTAATATTCAAAGAGTTACGAACGAACGGAATTATAATTAATCGATTTACTTTCGTTGACTGGGCAGGTAAAAATTTAAAACGTGATATGAATAACAAAGAGAGTGTGGATGTGAGACTTAATCTTCTATTTATTCACATCCATACCAACGAAGAAGAAAAAGATCGTGTTTCAATAAGAAAATATCAATTACTTTTTCAGAGTAGGTCTGTACAATTGTACCTCTTTCAAACGAGTATCGAAAAGATTGTAAATACAACAGAACAAGAGTCTCTTATACAGTTGTTTTAATTAAACAAATCATTAGTTTATTAAAACAAGCATAAGTGATCAAGAGACATTTCTAATAAATGATTATATTATCAATTGAAAGTATACATTTCATATTTTCAATTAATTCATGGAATATTGTTTGAATCTGTTTTCAATCAATTATTCTGACTTATTTATTAATTCAGGATAAATATTTATTCATTTAAAATAAAACTAATTATGATATACGTGTAGGAATAATTAATTATACCGATGAATATTTTTTACATGATTACTTGTTACATCAAATTAAAATAAATATTCATTGGTTGTAAAAAAATTGTATATCATTTTAGAGACTTAGTTTTCATTAAAATTTCACTATCACACAATTCCAATATAACAGAAAACTTTAATAATAAAACATTTTCAAAAAACTTTCTCATGATATCAAACAATCTCTCATCTGCAGATTTAGTATGAAAATGAAACGTAGTCTATTCAAAAAAATCAAGAGCTTTTGATTCAATTCTATTGATTTAAATAAATAGTATCTGATCAAAATATTCTATTATTTAGTTTCTTTCCGAGTTTGGAATGAAATCCAAGGTTGATATACATCCCTAAAGATATAATATAACAAAATTTTTCATGCATACTACTTAAATTTCAATACGATGGCTTTTGGAAGTAGATGAAGAGTGTGTCTAATGTATATTTTAGAAAAATTGCAACAAACATACAGTGTGTATCGAAGTGACTCATTTTCATTCTTATCTTTATTTACAAAGTGATTGAAAATAAATCGAGGGCCAGCAAACTTTGTAGGTAGACTTTCAGCAAGTACTGTCGAATATTATATGTTCAGATCAGTAGGCTAATTTGTTTTATCTTTTAACATTACATAAATACTATTATAACAATAACACAATCAATCATCTGGATTTTTTATTTGAGAATTGATTTTATGACATATCTCTTTTCAACTTCTAATATCAGTGTTTGTTGAAATATGATAAAGAACAAGTTCAGAGAGTATTGAAAAGTATGAATGCGTAGATGTGTCAAATGAGAGATGCAAATATTGTAATGTATTGTTATGCAATGCGAAAAATATTAACAATTGTTCAATGAGTACATATTGGTAATAATCTACATTCAATATAAGAAGCTGTTGTATTGATGTTAACAGCATGTTGAATAGTTCAGTACCATTCAAAGTTTTTTCCTCCAATAGTCAAGAAACATTATGCAACCGGGTGAATCACAAAGTACAATAGTATCTATCAAAGTAGTGAAACTCTTTGTAATGTCATTATAAACATCGAATATATGACGTATAGAAGTCAAAAGATGTTCGATACGAACATTTTTTTTTCGCATCAAGGAAAGCTTGACAAAGATCAAACGAAGATACATAACCAAATACAATCAGCAAAACTTCATTAGGTAATGATTCGAGTGTACTTTTATTCATTCTTATCTTACTGAATGTATTCTGTACATACATTTCTTTTAAATATATATTGCTCTAATATATGTGTGTGGGTGTTCATTTTATCCGTTTATGTCATTGATTGGTATTCAATTGGCCGACAGAACAAATAGCAAAAAATGCCGAAGAAAAACCTGACAAAACAATATAGCAAGAGTCTCTAGCCAAAAGAAAACTGATAATCATATGGTAATTTATAGGTATAGTGTATGGATAACAGTCCTTCCTTGATCCTTAACCTCGAACTCCAAACCTTGTTGTTTAATAGAGTGACTTAATGAAAATCTGGAACATTTTCAACATCTTTTAGGAGAATATATTTTTTCACTATTTTTATACGCTCGAGGTGTGGATATCGATGTGCAAGTGGATATGCGTATGGATGAATGGTTCTGGATATAGTTGTTCTCTTCATCCACACCCACCCACACGTCCATAATTCATCTGTAAGCAAATTTGACTTTTATTACAGGTCACAATATTCACCATCGGGTATTTAACATTGCCATTGCTGCCGATATCGAACATGATAGAAAATAATAGCATAGATATATATATATATAGACAGATAGATGAATATCATTGCGGACTATGATCATATACAATTAAACATGAATTATTCAACTCTTAACATTCTTGACTTATGTGACGAGATGTTGCTTATCATTTTGAGCAAACTCAATAATATTGATGTAGTATATTCGTTGATAGGAGTCAATCAAAAATTCGATAGATTGGCTCGATGCATTGACTTTACACAATCTCTTGATTTTACAATGATATCATCAAATGAACATAATTACTCAAAAATGAATTCAATGCTTAATCGATTATGTTTTCATATAATACCTGAAATTCAACACAATATTCAATCTCTTACTCTTGATCCGTGGTCAATGAATAGTGTTCTTACCATTGGAAATTATCCTACACTTCATAAACTTACTCTTGTCAATCTCAAACTTGAAATGGCTTCTCGTATTTTCCTTAGTACGTTATTTGATCTCGACATTTACAAATAAACATAATTAATTATATATCAATTTGTATAATTTTAGGTGATTCACCATTTGTTCACATGTTTAAACATAAGATTTCTGATCTTGTTGTAATAATTGAAGATCATAGCGACTATGAATATAGATGGTGTTCGTGTCCATGTATTTTTGTCAATATTTGTATGGAGTTTATCAATCTAACTCATTTCCATTTTGATTTAAAAAACAAAAATCTATATACACTAAAATCTCTCAATTCTTTACCATCTAGATGTTATTCATCGAGTATTGTTCATATAAATATTAAGGTGAAGAGTTTTGATGATTGCCTCTGGTTACTCGATGGTCATCTTAATCAATTACACACATTGATTATTCATGTCAAACATATTCGTAATACGTCCAAGATTATCAATAATACGGTAATATATATTTTAACTTATAGCAAAAGACTTCTTTTATTTCGATTCTTGATTAAAAAAAAACAATAAAGTAATCATATATCAAGTAATAAGCCTAACTCTAAAATGCTATGAACTAATATAGTTGATAAAATTTTCATTTAATCATTGATGAATAAGAGAAAAGGTTCGAAATAGAATGAAGATAACTGTCTTGTTGTTAGATCTAATTTTAAATGAATAATACTTACTATTTATATTAATTTTTATAGAAAATTCTGTCGAATTTAAAATATTTCTCATTGACTTCATTTTGTATAACATTGGAATATGATAATCAAATTGTTCCACTTCTTCGTCAAATGTCACAATTAGAAAAACTAACATTATCTCTTTATGTTCGTGAACGAACTTCATTTATTGATGGTACTCATTTGGATAATGATATCATTAGTAAAATGCCATATCTACATACATTTATTTTTGATATTGTCACCGAACATGTCATGATCAACAAGGAATATTTACCAACGTCTGATGATGTTCGACGTGCACTTATTCAACGAGGATATAATATTGATTGCTATATTGACTATCTTTGGACTGAAAAAGGTCGATGTCATATTTACTCACTTCCCTTTACTATGGAAAGTATTAATGTAATTACCAACAAATTTATTCCTAATGGTGTATTCATGAATGTTCGTAAGCTATATGTGCATGATCCTATGCGTTCAATTGAATATGATTTCTTCGTTCGAATCTCACAAGCATTTCCATTACTTGAAGAATTAACCGTTTTTAGTATGGTAAACCAAAAGAAACAACGAAATAAATTAAGTGTACATGAACAAACATTTTCAATTATTGAATATTCTCATCTTATGAAACTTCATTTATTTATGTCTCATGTCGACTATGCGAAATATTTTCTTCTAAACACAAACACACGTTTACCTCGTCTTAGTACACTAAGTATTGATTATGAAAACTTGGTAAATGTAACAGAGGATTTTACAAGTAATGCAGTTCGTGCCAATTGTGTAAATTTAAAAAACATTATTTTTCGTAAACAACCAGCAATGCTTGGAAAATTTTTTTTTTCTTATTTTCCCTTTGTTGTAAATATAAATATAAAATCATTTTAATTCAATCGTCTCATTTTGTTTATATATCAATAAAAACAAATTAATGAACCCAATG